GTCTTCCCACTGTCCTCGGACCTCCTCCGAAGCCTGGCGGCGGGGCGGGGACACCTCCTCCCGCCGCCGCCGGGCTCGGAAGGCTCCTCCGAAGCCGGGCGGGGAGGGAACACCTCCCGCCGCCGCCGGGCTCGGAAGGCTCCTCCGAGCCGGGCGGGGGGAGGGAACACCTGCCGCCGCCGCCCGGCTCGGAACGGTGCTCCGAGGCCGGGCGGGGGGAGGGAAGACCTCCCGCCTCTGCCCGGCCTCGGAGCGGTGCTCCGAGCCGGGCGGTGGGGAGGGAAGACCTCCGCCTCTGCCCGGCTCGGAACGGTGCTCCGAGCCGGGCGGGGGGAGGGAAGACCTCCCCGCCGCCCGGCCCGGAACGGTGCTCCGAGCCGGGCGGGGGAGGGAACACCTCCGCCGCCGCCCGGCCTCGGAACGGTGCTCCGAGCCGGGCGGGGAGGGAAGACCTTCTGAAGGCGGGCGGGGGCGAAAGTCTTTGCTCCCCCTGCCTGCCTGTCCCGGAGGGCTTTTGAAGGCGGGGAGCAAAGACTTCGCCCCCGCCCGCCTTCAGAAGAGGTCCAGGACCTCTTCTGAAGGCTGGCGGGGGCAAAAGTCTTGTCCCCCTGCCTGCCTTCCCAGGGGCTTTAAATTGCCCCGGACAGCGGAGAAGTCCTCCGCTGTCCCGGGGTGATTTTAAAATGCCGCCCGCCAGCATTTTAAGATCGCCCGGACAGCGGAGAAGTCCTCCGCTGTCCCGGGGTTTTTTAAAATGCTGGGGGTGGGAAGAAAAGCCCTTGCCCCCCCCCCAGCCTTCAGAAGAGGTCCGGGGACAGACTGTCCCCGGACCTGGTCTGAAGGCGGTTTCCCTAGGAACGCATTAATTGATTTTCAATGCATTCCTATGGGAAACCGTGCATCGCAAGACGAAAAACTCGCAAGACGAAGAGACTTGCGGAACGAATTAATTTCGTCTTGCGAGGCACCACTGTACTTGAAACCCTTCAAATCCTAAGTATTGTTGTGTGCAAGCACACATAGTGGCACCCACCACCTGAAGAGGCTCTCTCTCAGGGTAGAACATCCGCTTTGCTTGCCAAAAGCCCCACTTTCAATCCCAGATACTTCTAGTTAAGGATCCAATAGGGTCTGATGGGAAATATGACTGTTCTGAGAGAGGTACTGCTGATCAGAGTATGCAACACTGGACTCAATGGACACATGGTATAAGGTATATGATCCATCCAAGACAACTCCACATGGTCTTGCTTTTGAGAAGGGACGAATATGAAGTGGATCTGTAAAACTGCTGTATTTATAAACACTTCTTCTAGTGGCTTATAGAACAAAATGATGAATGAAAGCAGGAGTAGCTATAGGACACCAACCTTAACTAATACTTCAACACCCTGGATTGTGGATTCCTCTCCTCTCATTCAGTTGCACACACTTCCTCAACACCAAGATGTGTTGAAATTCCACTGGGCATTAAATAAATTCCGCCTAAACTAACAATCACCAAGGACAGTCCAGGTGTCACCCTTGCTTTAAGAAACAAGGGCAGTGAAGAAGGTTTTTGGTGGCCACAGGGACTTGCCTTGCTGCTGAATGTGCAGGCATCGAAGCACCACGTGCTATACCTGTGGGTTATTTTGTATAGAAAGCTCCATTCCTTCCAGAAAAACTGCAGCCCTGGGTGTGCATAAGCAGCCACTTAGAAAGGATGCCTCAGTCACTTGATCACTCATTCAGCTACTGCTGGGTATTAAGCCACAAAAAAGAGAATTCTTAAAAGTTTCCATAATGGGAGATGGCACACTCCCATTTTGCTCTCTTGCATTTGCTGAGAAAAGGTTGATTAGACTGCAAGACCATGCTGCCTGCCTCCCCAATAATGTACTTCCTTGCCTTCCCTCAGCAACTCCTGGGAAGCTGTGACTGCTCCACACTGCTGGCACCTTGGCTGCTCTGGAAATATATGATCTGATTGAAAAAAGGTCAGCTGGCAACCTCTGCTGCTGCCCTTTTCATTTTACTTTTGTTCTTCCTCGCTTTGGACAGTGCAGGAGCACCCTCTGTCGGCCAAGTGTCAGAGCTGACCAGATCCTGGTCTTGCTGAGCCCTAAGCCCTCACCCTACCTGATACCTTTAGCCAATTCTTTCAGCTACAAGAGGGAAGGGTTGCTCTTCCAAGTAATCCTTAAACTGGACTTTCATGCTCACATAGGCTAAAAGGCTACTGGCCCACGGGAACACTGCTTTCTCTTGAACCTCAACCATGCAAACCTGTCAACATTTCATGTGTGATTACGCCTTCATTCCAGCTACATCCCTGCAACAAGTGCTTCTACCTCCTACTTTTCCTTGCTGTGGTCTTTTCATTCTGAGGTGTCTTTACTGTCTGTCTCCTTAGCAGTTGTGTGATTTCCCAGGCCCATCTTTAGTACCCTTGGATTCCACTAATCAGGCCCTGGGAATCTGAATTCATTTAAAGTAGCTAGAATCAGGGGTCAGCAAACTAAGGCCTAGGGGCCGGATACGGCCCCCCAGGCTCATAAAACCAGCCCGCGCCACAAAGCCGGAACCCGACGTGAAGCCGAGACTCCCGGCGATGGCAACAGGAGGAAGAGGCCAAGCAGCGGCGGGTCTGCAAATCAAACACCGCACCTGGTTTCATTGGCAGAGCCACTGCTGCTCAGCCTCTTCCTCCTGCCACCACTGTCCTAGTGCTCCTACGGGCCAGAGAGTGGAGTGGACGAGCTCGCTCTGCCTACCTGCCTACAGCAGCAGTAGCAGCAGCGGTGGCGGCGGCAGCCCCTGGGGAGATAAGCGCAGCACCTTCTTTCTTTCGGCGGGGAGGAAGCCTGTTTCATGCCACCGCTGCTAGTCCTTTGCCAAATGAGGCAGGCGGCAAACCGAGAAGGCGGCTGGGCCTGGGGTGGGCTGGGGAGTACGACTACTTGCCACCCTCACAGTGTGCATAGGTATTCGTAGATAGATAGACAGATAGATAGATAGATAGATAGATAGATAGATAGATAGATAGTCCGGCCCTCCACAAGGTCTGAGGGACAGTGGACCGCCCCCCTGCAGAAAAGGTTTGCTGACCCCTGAGCTAGATGTTCCCTTACTACCTCTTTTCCGATCCACGGCTGCAGCTCCCTCCTTATATCATTTATTCTGTTATCACTTAAGCACTGGTTAGGAAGCCAGGGCATTGGTGATTTTGGTAAGCTTGGGACAAGCAATATATTCACTGAGGCTCAGAAATACACAAAAGGGAGAGAGGCAAGTGAAGTCTGAACAGGGAAACTTTTTGGGGGGGGGGAGGGAAAAGTGCTAAGCTTAAGAATCAAGACTTTGGATGTGATCTGGGTTCTGAAAATTGTGGAGCCTCAAAGGTTGGACTGGAGGACCTCAGGTCCGGGGGGACAAATGTGGTCCTCCAGACTGTTGTATTTGGTCATTGAGTCTCTCCACAAGCCACATTCCCTATCCCCACTAGTTACCAGGCCTGCAACATTCCATCCCTGAGTATTTTTGCATGGCTGGAATGTGTTCTTGAACTCTGCGAATGCCTCTTGTTTGCCTGGATGGAGGATAGAGTGGGTTGCACAATTGTGTGCAGAAACAAACATAAGTAGAGCAAGGTAAGTGTTATATTCATTATTCCATGCACTTTTGCCTCTGGCTCCGTCCACCACTAGAATGTGACACACAGAGACACTGTTGTACTCAGGTCCTGCTTGCAGGCTTCTCACAGGCATCTGGTTGGCCACTGTGAGAACAGGATGCTGGACTAGATGGACCACTGTCCAGATCCAGCAGCCTGTTCTTAGGTTCTTATGAAATAAAAAAGGATTTAACTGGCTTACAACCTTTGTCTCAGTCACACTTTGGGACAAGTGCAATAATCATCAATTACCTGTCCCCAATTTGGACACAAGGAATACTAATGAAAATGAAGTTCATTAGCATTCTTACTGGAACAAGTCACTTTTACCCAAAGACCCGTGATCAAAGAAAAAACATTCGTTTTATTTTGGAAAAGTTTCATCATGTATCAAAAGTGTGCTGGGTCTTAGAAAGAAAGCAGGAAATTGTGCTCTGTAGAACGATGTGTTCAAACCAAGAAAAGGAAAACAAACAAACAAACAAACAAAATCACTCACAGCCCAAGGGAGAAACAACAAAAACAAGAACTACAGAATAAATTAATCCTAATAAATGTAGGATTCCCATTATGCACGTATATGCAATGGCAGAGGCAAATTATGGGTGATTGATGAAGTTGCCACATTAAAGGCTCCTTGATAAAGTGGATCATTTGTAAAACAAGCAGCAGAAAGTGGCGGGGAGGGGCGAGAAGGGAGAGAATCTTGCCACCTCTGTTAAGGAACACAAATAATGCTCTGCCAAAATTAAAACAGGTGGTTGTTAGGCTTGTTCTGCTGATGACAGCAAAAGGGAAGAAAGGTGCTCAGAGTACCTCTCCAGTGCTTTAAAGCTTGAGTGTCAAAGGAGGGTGTGTGTGTGTTCAGGGCCGTCTTTAGCAGATGCAGCACCGGGGTGCAAATATCTGCCCAGTGCCCCCAAATTACCATGGATAGTGTTGGGGTGGCAGTAGCTGCATACTGCCAGCCATCGGGGGGGACAACTCTCCCCCATGCCACTGCGGGAGAGCGATCCCCGCAGAGGCTTGGAAGTGAAGTTGCGCCCCTCCCAAGCCTCTGCGGTAGGAGGGCGTAGCTGGCGGGCATGCAGGGAAAGGGCAGGCCACCAGCAAAGCCGCGCAGCTCCCCCACTTGCTGGGGCACCCCTGAGAGGCCAGCGCCCTGGCGCAATGCACCACTAAGTCCTATGGGAAAGACGGCTCTGTCTGTTTTCAAACTGCAGTGTTAGGCTTCCACAGCCCTCTGATTTGGGGCTCATCCATTTCCATTTGTCCCATGATTTCCAATTCCATTTGTCCCATGATTTCTAAGCACAGGTCCAAGAGGTTTTCCTTTTGACCCGCAGCTTCTCCCAGGAAAACCCACTGTTTACTGTTCAATCAGAACAAACATTGATCTACAAAAAACCAAACTGATGTTTGTCCTGATTCAGCAGTAAATAGTGGGTTTTCCTAGGAGAAGCAGCAGGACCATTAAAAAAATAATAATTAAAAAATGGGGGGGGGGATATTCCAACCTCTCAGACCTGTGATTTGAAATCACAGGACAAACAGAGGTAAGTATGAGCCCTTACTGTGGATGCATCTGGCTAAAGCAACTGGACAGAAGCAGAAAGGCATGCCTGGGGTTGTTCAGCAGGAACCTTTGTTGGTCTCTAGAAGCTTGGCTCACCAATGTGCCTAGAGAGGATGACTCCCAGGAAAAGCAAATTCCACTTGAGCACAAGAGATTCTGGGCACTTCAAGGGTATCTCCTTATTACTTATATCTATTCACACTACAGGTAGGGATGAAATCCAATTCAGTTTGAATTAAAAGGTGAACATGCCTCATATATATGTTCTGAAACAATGCACAGACTGAAACAGGCTCCACGCCCCTAAAGCTTCCTCTACACCTGTCCTTGCAAGCTGCTTCTTGTACATGGCCACATTTGACTGTCACAGTAAAGGACAGTCTGTGGCCCTCCACATGTTATTGGAACGCCAACTCTCATCAGTTCCCACCTGCATGGTCAAAGTCCAGGTATGTTGGGTAATTCAGTTCACATTTAACAGCAATTCTAGCTAATTCACATATTCTGAAACAGCATGTCAACTGAAACTTAGCCATCCTTCAAAATTTACAGTTTTCGCAATGTTGTAATGCAGTGCTCCAGCCAAGTAATGTGCAAAAACATGCATGTAGTTAGGTAAAGCGAGCACAAAGATGCATATACAGTGGTACTTTGTGTTACATACGCTTCAGGTTACATACGCTTCAGGTTACAGACTCCGCTAACCCAGAAATAGTACCTTGGGTTAAGAACTTTGCTTCAGGATGAACAGAAATCATGCTCTGGTGGCGCGGCAGCAGCGGGAGGCCCCATTAGCTAAAGTGGTGCTTCAGGTTAAGAACAGTTTCAGGTTAAGAACGGACCTCTGGAACGAATTAAGTACTTAACCTGAGGTACCACTATATTCATTTTGGGGAGGACACTCCAAAATACAGACATTCCCAAAAAAATGACTAAAAACATTCAAAAATATAAATATTAAGGGAAATAATACTTTGCAAAAATAGGTACATTAGAAGATATTTTTCTAAAGTGTTGGTGTGTTACAATGGCTGTGATGGCGGATGAAGGCTGACGCAGGTAAGAATCTACCGGTCATCGTGACTACTCATGCCATCGGAACAGAGCCTTACTGCGAAGACTGTGCATTGGAATCCTTTAAAGATTCCATCAACGGTGTCTCTGAAAAATCTTATATATCACTTGGGAAGACAGGCGAACTAATGTCAGTGTACTGGAAGAAGCAAAGATCATCAGTGCCAAAGAAATGATTCTTCAACATCAACTTTGTTGGACTGGTCATGTTGTGCAGATGCCTGATTATTGTCTTCCAAAGCAACTACTCTATTCCAAACTTTAAAAATGGAAAGCGTAATCCTGGTGGTCAACAAAAGAGGTTTGAAGACTCTCTCAAGGCAAATCTTAAAAAAAAGTAATATAAACACCGACAACTGGGAAACACTGGACTGTGAGCATTCCAATTGGAGAACAGCCTTTACCAAAGGTGTCATGGGCTTTGAAGACGCTTGAACTCAGGACAAAAGGGAGAAACATGCTAAGAGGAAGGCAAACTTGGCAAACCCTCACCATGATCAACTCCTGCCCGGAAACCTATGTCCCCACTGTAGAAGGACGTGTGGATCCAGAACTGGCATCCACAGTCACTCATGGACTCACTGTTAAGACTGTGTTCATGGAAGACCATCTTACTTGGCTATGAGTGATCGCGAAAGAAGAAAGAGAAGGAGAAGGAGAATAAACCAAAAAACTTTGAAAACTTCTCAACTAACCTAATATTTATTTGCAATTGGCATAAATTCATGTTACTAATGGACAGAGCAATAAATGAATGGAAAATGTTCTGCCCTCCACCACTGGAGATAGCCCAAGTACCATGTGATGCAGGACAAGCCAACATGGTGCCCCTCCATATGATGTGGGACTACAACTCCCATCAGCTCCGGTCAACACTGTTAGTAATCAAGGAGTTGTCAGAGTTGTAGTCCAACAATATCTGGAGAGTACTATGTTTGTTCCCCCTGATGAAATATATCAGATAACTTATTTTGTTCTTCTCATTCTAGCACCATTTATTTTTTTGAGATATATAACAGCACACATGTGTACACACATGCCACTCAATGGGATATGGCCAGTGTTAGTACTACTCTGAGTAGACCCACTGATATTAATGGACCTGAATAGTCATGCCCACTACTTTCAATATGTCTGCTCTGAGTATGGCTAACACTGGCCATAACCTCTCTGGCACCCACACATCAAAAGTGCCAAGCTTCTCTATCTCCTCTCTCCAAGGCTCATATCACCAGAACAGACTTTCCAGAACAACCCAAGCACAAAGCAGCACACACACACACACACACACACACAAAACACCCCACCCACTGTAAGGCCCCTACCTAAAATAACCTCCTGAGTGATGGGGAACCAGCAGCAATGCCCAGAACCTGCTGCAGCCAAAAAAAGAATTTACTGGTCAGATGAACTAGAACCGCCTTGTGGAAAACATGATTCAATGGATTATTTAGGCATATAGTTTCAACCTTGGCCAAAATACTCCTCCCTCCCTGCTGCCTCTCTTGTTCCCTCCCCCAACTCTTTCCAGGACACAAATATCCAAGAGATTGGGAAGGTGCACTGGAAACAACTGGAAACAACTACACTTATCCCAGTGGGAGGCTTGTGTGATGGGGAGTGGGACACAACACTCTCAAGGATGAATGGGGCGGTTAGAATAAGCTAGCTTGCTTGGTTTAACCACAGTTAAGCTGTTGGACAGGGGTCATGGATAACGCCAAGCCATAGCTTCACAAACCATAATTTAATAAACTGTGGCTTGGTATTACGTGAATGCCAACTATTACTCCTACACATTACTACTGCTGACACATTTTCGGAATGTGATAAGGCCACAATCTTAATATCCTTTTCACGTGTACTTTTCTCCATCCTATACCTGCACATTTAGTTTCTCCTTCCCAAATGTAGAACTATGAACTTGGTTTGTCTGGTGGAAGACCTGGAAGATGAGTCTCCACTTGGTGCAACCCAGCTCAGATATTAATTTACACCTTCAGTGGGAATGAAGTATAGATGTCAGGGAGAACGGGCCTAGACCAGCATGCTAGTTTTCTACAGCCTGAAGTGGTGCAGTCCCAAAACTGTTGACTGCTTTAGAGAAAACTACTCATTGCCTTAGATGCATGTGGCAGACATGGCATATCTTAATCATTACAAACCTCATCCATTTTCCCCACATTTTTTTATTAAAGTCTGTGAAATATAGCACAGGGGTACAGAATTAGCGCTGTTCTCCAGCCCCTCCCCCCTCCTTTAGAGGGTCTCACCCTTCTACCAGAGGAGCACTGGTGTGACAAAAAAACATTTTTTCCCAAGCCTAATATTAATTCCAGATGCTTGTAATCCATTCAGTTTGTACCTCACCCTGTAAAAAAAACACTCCCTTTCTTTCAGCTGTGGAGCCTGTTTCTACTGTGACATAATGGGCCGGGTTGTTCTGTGGCCTGCAATATATTCACACACAGAGGCAGGCTTTCCATCGCAAGCAAAGAGCACCATTCGGCTGTGCAGCATATTGTTGCACTGTTGTTCAGGACACATTTCCACAACTATCACTCAATAGATTTGGATGCAAGCTGGGCTGTTTTCAGCTGCCGTGGGCAGAGTCCCGCTCCCTACAAGTGGCCATTGAAAGCATCATAAAATTATAGATTTGGAAGGGGTGCCCAAAGGTCATCTAATCATAGCTAAAGAATCATTGACAGATGGCCATCTGACCTCTGTTTAAACGCTTTCAGCAATGGAGAGTCCAACACCTCCTGAGGTGGAAAATTGTACCTAACGTTTGGTCAGAATCTCCTTTCTTGTAGTTTGAATCAGTTGGATTGGGTCCTACTCTCCAGAGCAAGAGAAAACAAGCTTGCTCCATCTTCCATGGGACAGCCCTTGAGATATTTGAAAATGGCTATCATACCACCTCAGGCTTCTCTTCTCCAGGCTAAGCATACCCACCTCCCTCAAGCGTTTCTCATAAGGTTTGATTTCCAGACCCTTTATCATCCTCATGGTCTCTTCTGCACATGTTCATTTGTCAATATACTTAAACTGTGGTGCCTAGAACTGGAAACAGTACTCCAGGTGGGGTCTGACCAAGGCAGCAGAGAGCGTTAAACTTTGGCCAGTCTCTGTTGGGCCACTAAGACTGGGAACATCCTCTCCCCAGGCCCTTGTGGGGCAGTGTGAGGAGGCACCTCTCTGGGGCAGAGAGGGGGGCAGCTCAGAGACCAGGGGCAGCAGCAGCAGCTGCCCAGAGGACTCCCAAGCAGAGGAGAGAGGAGAGGAGGTTGAGGGAATACTCCACAAGGGAGGGTGTTTGGAAAAGGGTGTGAGGCTGCCAGCTCTGCAGGCAAGGGATGACATAACTGGGCTCCTGAGCCCCACAGCGGGGGCACAAAAAGAATAGAGTTGGTCAAGGGAGCCGTGGACTTAAAAAGGTTGAAAACCTCTGATCTAGACACTATAATTCTATTGATGCAGCCTACAATTACATTAGCTTTTCTTTGCTCCTGCATCATGAGGCTGACTCATGTTAAGTTCATCATTCTACTGGTGCTCCCCTGAGAATGAGGGATGATGAGAATATGCATTGGACTCCATTTGGAGAGCAACAGGTTCCCCATTTCTGGTCTATATCTTTAAATTGTATGTTGACTTTCCCCTGTCTTATCCTCCAGCCCTTATGCCTATGGATTTCTCTCCTCCAGCTCTACAGGGTGACCACACATATATCATCCCAAATTAGCTTTCCTTCCTCTGCTGCCCTCAAAATGTTGTTGGATTACATGAGAATGAAAGAACAGCCTGCTG